ATGGGATTCGATTAGACATATTTTGCCTAAAAACAATCTTTACAAACATATATGGCAACCTAATATCCCCCCGACTTACTCTTTTCTTCTTTGGAGAGTTCTCCATAATTATCTACCTATTGACTCGATTTTGATGAAAAAAGGCCTCATTATTGTTTCTAAATGCCAATGTTGCTATCATATAGAGAATCTTAATCATGTTTTCATCAATGGTCCGATTGCTACCACAGTTTGGATTTATTTTGATAATATTTTTAATGTGCTTTCTTCTTTTCAGTATGATTCGATTATTGCTATAATTACTGATTGGATCCTTCCTATCAAAGGTCACATTAGAAATATTATTCCTGTTCTCATCTGTTGGTATTTATGGGAGAGCCGCAATGCCTCCAAGCATGACAATATTGGTATGAATGCTTTGAATATTATTGCTAAAGTTAAGAACAAAATTCTTCAGCTTCATAGTGCAAATTTAATTAATGCGAGTTCTTTTCATAATTGTCTTAATGCTGCTTTTGTGTTTGGGCTGAATTTTTCTCTTCAGCCTATTACCAAAAACGAGATATTGGTTTACTGGAGATGTCCGGTTAAGGATTACTTTAAACTTAACACTGATGGCTCTTACAATAATTCTTTTGCTGGATGTGGTGGTATTATCCGGGATCATAAGGGTAAAACTGTTATTGCGTATGCTGGCCCCTCCTCTGGCAGTAATGCTCTTCAAGCGGAATTTGCTAGTTTGCAGTATGGGATTCATCTCTGTTTATCTTTGGGGTTGAATAAAATCTGGGTTGAAGTTGATGCTTTATTATTAATTCAATATATTAGTGGCAATTTGAAGAATAACCCCAACAATTTTTACATGATTAGAGATATTAAGCATTGTTTATCTCGTATCAATTTTTCTATCTCTCATATAATGCGAGAAGGTAATGCTGTGGCTGATGGTTTAGCGAAAATGGGGTGTGGCTTGGATGGTTTTGTGCATTTCAATGAAAACTCCCTTCCTAGGGACATTCTGGGGCTTATTAAACTGGATCGGATGGGTTTCCCTTATATAAGGTTTCATTAATGTATTCTGGTCCTATTTTTTCATGTTATGTCCCTCTCTAATCTATTCTCTGGTTGCTTTCCTCTGCTTCAGGTGGGTTTTTCCTGAAGGTATTTTCCTGATGGATTTTTTGACCTTGACGTTTCATTTTGTTTTTGAATTTCTGCTGTTTCCCTACTATGTTTATTTTGTGCTTCGTATTGGTAATCTGGATGGAGCATATTGGTTCTGGGCCTCAACTTTTTCCTTTTCTGTTTAAGCTATGTTTAGCTTGTTTTGCGGTATCTGGTATTCTGCTGGATACTACTTGAGTAAGTGTAATATTAGGGGGATCTATTGCAAGCCTGAGATCTTTTTTATATTCTGGAATCTTTTTCTTATCGTTAAGTTCTGTTACTTGCTTCTTTTTTGCTCTAGTATCCTTGCAGGCCTGTTTTTTCAGGTTTTTGGAGCTCCGCGCTCGTTTTGTGCAGGGTACGTTTGTTGCTGGAAGGGTCGTGCTGAATGTTATTCTTTGTTCCCTTCTTTTTTTTTTGTCTCTAGAATGTTACTAGATATTATTGTAATTTTTTGTAGTAGGGATCTCAGGCTCTTAGGTTCCTTTTTAATTTTTCCTGTAGCTCTTTGGAGCATTAGTGAGCTAGAGAACCCTTTAAGGACTGTGTAACTTTTTCCCTTATTTAACGCGTAGGCCCGTTGGTGGGTAAAAAAAAAAAAAAAAGTTTGGAATGATTTAATTTGATTTGAAAAGAAATTTGGTTGGTTGTTTTTGTAAATTTCACATCCAAAATAATCAATTGGTATTATTAATTCATAAATTAAATCATCTAAATCAATCAAATGCACATCTTAAATATGTTAGAATGTGATAGTTGTACGAAAGTTAATCCTTAATTTTTTCAAAAGGTTAAAGTCTATAATTTTCATAGCAATATTTAAAATCTGGGATTTATTTTTCTCTAAACAATTCCACAACTAATGCTTCATTTGAGACAACTTTTGGTAACTATATTTTCACAGCTTGCACAAATTTTTTTTACTAAAGAGCAGCTTTAGAAAATAGTAAAAAAATTATCCCAAAGAATTTCTAACAACATAGGCAGTTGAAGCCGCTCCTACGACCGTATTCAATTAATTACTAAAATGTGACTATTATGGACCTTCCATTCATCAATATCAAAAGTTAGGTTTTAGAGCTTTATGCCTAACAGATTAATTTATGGTTTTATAACAAATTAATAAATTTTCTGTATTCATATTGGGGACAAACAATTGTCCTAAAAGCAAAACAATACAAGCATAAATAACACAGTTTAGAAACTATAAAATAAGTAACTAATTTATGTCATTCAAGAAGAAGGTCATATATACGAAGATCATATATACCTTCATGCTTTGACCTGCAAGCAGGGTTCCAGCAACCACTGCTGTGAAGCAAAGTGAGAACTGGAGCGGACCAATATAATAGCGACCCCAATGAGGACCTGGCAAGTACGCACATGAACAAGTTACATATTCCATTGAAATAAAATCTTGAAAAACAATTCACAGTTCAGAAATATTTAATAAATACAGATGTTATTTAATGCTCATTAATAATGAATATAGTGATGTATTTTTTAAGTTAAAAGGGATTGAAGAGTACTTCATCAACAAAATTTTAAATTATAAATTTCTTCCAATTTAAAATTCCAAGAGATAAAAGAAGCTGTGATCCTTTTTGTTGTTTATATTAATTAATAATCAATATGATAAAATTACTTATTATCATCATCAGTACAACCAATCTATAAAAATGAGAATCAAACTGTCAACATCATTTATGTAATTTAAAGTCAAAGAAGACATGCGACGAAGATTATTTGTCTCATTCAATTAATTTTTCTATATAATATGGCATAGCCCATGGCCCATAGATACTTATAATATATGGTTGAAAGATACATAGGTCGTGTGGATGCATCCTTAGCCGTACATTTAACAAGAAATTATTGAAGAAATATAATTTAAAATTTCAATAATTTTTGTAATGCTTTGAGTGTGTGTATAAAATTTAATTATTTTATTAAAAAATAATTAAATAATCTAATTTAAAAATATTTAATATAAATGCTTAAATTTCAAAAATTCAATTAAGTTATTTAATTTACCATCACTTAAGCTTATGAGGTTTGTTTTTCTCTTATTTATATAATTTTTTAATTTGTTTACATGATATAAGAGCTCATATGAGGTGGTGTTGGGATCATGTGAGTAAATTTTGTTCATGGTTGGTTGAAGAAAGATTTTTATATAAATTTGAATTATGTTAAATTTAAATTAATTTATTAGATTTAATAATATAATAAATGTTGTGTCCACGAGTATTTGTGGCGGTAGAAAAATATAAAATTTAACGTCTTAGCGTTGTACGAAAATCCGGCTCGCAATCAGATAAGAGAGTGTGTAGCATTCATAGGAGACACAAATATTTTTACGTGGAAAACCCCTGAAAAGGGGGAAAAACCATAGGGCCTAGCCCAATTTGAATGAATCCACTAGTATTGCAATTGATTCCAAATGAGGCCCTTCCTTGGGAGAAGGCCTTAGCTTGATGTACAATTTATAGAGTACATTACATGATGTGAATAAAAATAGTCACTATTGACGTGTTCGTTTGGTTGGGAGGACCATAGTCTGGTAACAGAGGTCAGAAAGACTGTAATCTGCATACGACATAAGTCAAGAGGACCGTAGTCGGCTGGCGACGGAGGTCGGATGGACTGTAGTCGGCGGGCGACATAAGTTAAGAGGACCGGAGTCGGCGGGCGACGGAGGTCGGAAAGACTGTAGTCTGACGACGAAGGTTAGAAGGACGGCGTCGAGTAGAAGTCCAACAATGGAAAGGAATTCATCTTTGGATAGATGTCCAGCGAAAGTCCGATAACCGGTAGAAGTCTGGCGTCGGGTAGAGGTCCGACGTTTGCTGGTGGCCGAAGAGAACTCCGACATTACTTGGGCGGAGTTTTGGCGTCAGAAGGGAACTCTATCGTTAATTGGGAAGAATTTTAGCATCTCGTGGAAGTTGGGCAGAATTCTGGCATCCCGTGGAAGTCGGGGAGAATTCCGACGTCATTTGGAGTTCGAGCAGAACTCCGTATGGGTGTCAATTTCTGACCCGACCCGAAAATCCGACCCGAACCCGACCCGAAAAATCCGGGTTCGGGTCAACCCATTTGTTAAACGGGTCGGGTTCGGGTTCAAAATTTTGACCCGTTTGAAAAACGGGTCGGGTCCGGGTTGACCCGACAACCCGCGGGTCAACCTGTTTAACCCGGTTTCTGCCCTATTCGCCCAGTCGCGGGTCGCCCTCCGCCCTCGATCGCGATTCGGATTCGCGATCCCGCCCTCGCTCCGTCGCATAACAAGCTCGCGCCTCGCTCAGTCGCTCGCAAAGACGCGAAGTCGCGAACCCGCTAGTCCCGCTACGCCTCGCTCACAAAGACGCGAACCCGCTAGCGCTCCGCGTCTCCGCCCTCGATCGCGATGCGGATTCGCGATCCCGTCTCGCTGGCTCGCCCTCCGCGGCTCCGTCTGTCTGTCGCTCGGTGCTCGCGAAGAAGAGAACGGCGAACCCGCTCCGCCTCGCTCGCGAAGACGCGAACCCGCTTCGCCTAGCTCACGGGTCGTGTCGGGTCAACCCGCCAACCCGGGCGGGTCGGGTCCGGGTTGAAATGTCCGACCCGTTTGCAAAAACGGGTCAGGTTCGGGTTGACCCATTTAGATCCGAATCGGGTCGGGTTCGACCCGAACCCGACGGGTTGACCCGAATTGACACCCCTAGAACTCCGGCAAAAGTCGAGGAGGAGTCTCTTCCCTCCTATTCTTCTCTTCTTCTTCTCCTCCTCCTCCTTGCTTCGGTCCCCTCTCATGAGAAATGAGTGGTTTATTTATAGATTTCTGGAATGGCATGGCCCGTAAATAGGTGAGAGATCAGGGGCGAATCGGGAGTGGTTTGAATGGACGGCCAATATTGAATCCCTTGGTCGCGGATCGTTCGTCAGACATTTGAAGATCTTAATGATGTCAGAATTTGGCAATCTTGGTCTCGTGGATTTGTCTCGTCGAGCCGTTCGATTCGACTATAAGCTTGTTAAAATCGGAGATCGTTTGGTAACTCAAATTATTGTTGAAACCTTCCAACAGCGCTTTGGGTCCTTGATTTGGACTCATTTGGGCTCGGATTGAGTCAAATTTGGTTTCGTTGGGTGCCTATTTCCGAGACGCTCAGTTTGACTGTAAGTTTGCTAAAATCGAAGTTCAGATGCTCCCGGATTTAATTTTTGAAGTTTCGGGCTTGAATTTGCCTTGAGATTCGTGCCCGATCAAGATAATTTTATGATGACATATACATAAATATAATATATTTAATTATTTAAATCAAATAGCTTTGAACCGATTGGTTCCTTACATTGGTTCAATAGTTTGTTGGTTGAACCAGTGGTTCTAACCATAGGCTAGCCAGTACCGAATCGTCCATATGACGGGTTTACGAATTTGGTCCTATCCTATTTTCAAAACTATTATATATATATATATATATATATATATCCTATAAATTAAATAAAATTAGCTTAGAATCCAGTTCAAAATATTTTATTAGAATGAGTATAAAATCATTAAATTTATTTTAAATAAACATAATATAAATTAATAAATCCTTCATATATTATATTTATTTTAAAATAAGTTTGATAATTTTAACATATAACATGAATTTAATTGGGATATTCATACAAATGATATTTTAATATTATTAGAGGCTAAAATGTTAAATAAATAAATTTAATCTTTTAAATAATATATATACATATAAAAAAAAGAAAAAATAATATAGGAGCATAAAAAATTAACGCAACAAAATTTAAGGTTGAGTTTGGTTTGACTCTAATATCAAAATTGACCAAATAATTATTTGAATCTAGATTAAGATTTTATTAGGAACAATCTTCTTATTATTTTAAAAAAAAAATTCTTAAAATTAGCAAAAATATAACTAAAAATTAGTTTAAATAAAGTCTAAATCATTTAGATTTAGGATAAACGGATTATTTTTAATTTAATTGAATTATGTTGGGCAGAAAAGATAAAGGAAAGGGGGTGGTTGGGTTTGTTGTATTTCCAATATATTAAATTGGTGGGAATCAATCAAATTTGGGTAAGATGAAACTTTGGTTCCAGCTTTGTTTGAGATGGCTTTTTTTATGATTGTTAAAGTAGATCTTCTTATAAAAAATTTAAGTTTTTTTTTATAAAAAATTTAAAATTTTAATTTTTATATTAAAAAATTTCTTTAAGAAGAATTAAAAAAAATTATCTCAAACAAATCTCAATCTCAAATTGAAACTACGAATGTAAATTAAAAAAAAAAAAATTACTGAGAATACGTACCAAGTACATGATGAGCCATGTCCCGGAAGCGAAGCAGGCGATGGCCCAGTAGAGCGTGTTGCTCCAGTACGAGCGAGAGAAGGGTATAGGAGTAGAAGGTAACGGCCCCGGCAACCAGAAGGATCAGAACTCCAGCCGCCCATCCGAGCTGCGCCACCGCCAGCGGTAGGCTTAGTAGCGCCGGCGCAACTATCGATGTAGTCAGGTGATATCCGCAGTGAAGCCATGATCCTATATGATCTAACTTTGTATGAAAACCTTACTTCTGAAAATGGAATAGAGTATAGTATTTCAAGGTAGTTGATTTTTTGAACCTTTGGATTTAAGAACAAAAAGGGCGCCGGCATCCAGAGGCTCGGAAGATGTTTCTTCAGAAAGATCTCCATGGATGCTATTTTGAAGGTCTTCTCTTCTTGTTCTTCCGTTAGGTGCTGGATTTGATGCCATGGTTCCCATGGTTCTCTCTGTTTTGTTAGAAAGAGAGAGAGAAAGGAATACTGAACGATGGAGAAAAAGGGTGAGTATTGAAAATTTTGGAGAGTGGAGAAAGGCGCTTGTTGAAGTAAATGATTTAATGGGATTTTTTTTATTGGTTGATGGAAGGAAGGCTGAATAAATAACCGGCTGATATATATAAATAACATTTTTCTGAAGTTTAAGCGTCAAATGATAAGTAAAAATTTTATAGAGAATTTAACTTACGAGTTTGAGAGTGATAAAGATTTGCATGTTTTAGTTTATGAAAGTTTAATTTTGTATAATATTTAATAAATACAGTACAACATTTAAAATGTTAGTTGAGGTGAATTGATTGAGGAACGAGATCAAACGATTACCAAGTTTTTAATTAGGGTAAAATATTATTGTTAGAGTTAAAAAAAAATCCCATGACAATATTTAATTTGAAGTAATGATGATAGAGGAAATAAAAGATAAGAAAAGGTGTTAAATCATTCAAATCATAATTTATATTTTTTGCTTTTTTGAAGGATTGGAAATTGCATTAAACAAGGAAAAAAAAACTATTACAAGCCAGAACTAAAAAAACTAACAAAGTTATCTTTCCTAACATTGCGAAGGTGACCATTATTGAAAATCAAATAAAACCCAAGAAAAAAAATATTTGCAAAATTGAAAATATCATAACAAAGATAAGATCCACTGCTCCTCTTTTTGAACCAATTGGGATGATGAGGACACCCAATATATTTGACAACCTAAAAAGTTGATTTTTATCCCAAGGTTCCCAATTAGACAAAAAATGAAAAATAATAAGAATAGTAAACTCCATTATTCTAATTTCATTATGCAAATAGAAAAAAATATAGATAACAACAACTCCAAATATCCATAAAGCTACCTCTTCAATTCTTGGAGCAGAATTTTTTAAGCTCACCAACGAATTACCCTTTATGAACAAGAAGTTCCATATCAGTAACATGTGTAATTCTACTGAACATTCTATGAACAAGACCTTCTCATCTTCAAATGATTATGAACCTGAACATTCCAGTACTTTCAAGCCTTCTTCACAAATGTCATGACTATGATAAAAAGAAGCCGCTATATGGGCTTCACTACAATTCCAGTCAATACAAGATGACATTTAGAGAACTGAAGGGGAAGATCCCCACCAACACTATGTAACCTCAAGTCAACTTTCCTTCTTCTAGGGAGATCTTCCAACGGACCTAATGATTGAAGTTCTTTAAACAATTTTTGTTTAAAACTTGAAGAATTTAAAATCTCATGATTATTTGTTATGACTGGACCGGTCCGATACTATGCCAGGCGGAAAACAGAAAAGGGGCGGAACTCCCCTGTGGACCCCACGTTGGTTCAAATTGAATTTGGGAGGGAGATTTTTGAATGAGGGGCTGTTTTAAGAAGTCCATTATTGTCCTTTTATGAGGAATTTGTATAATTAGGAGATTTGGGGGGGGGGGGAATTAGGGGCATCTTGAATTTGAATGAGAAGTTTGAGATCTCTTGGTGTTCTTGGGCTCTAGGGTTTGCTAGAGACTTGTGGAGAGTTGTTCTTCCTCTCGAATCGAAGAACGTTGTATCTTTCTTTGTTTTGCTTTCATTGCGAGTGAAATACAAGTCGTTTATTGCGTTTTATCTCAGATTTCCCTGTTTTTCCTGCTGATTTCTGCTGTGGACAGCAGTTTGTTGTTGTATTTTCACTGGTTTGGTTAGGAATACTTGAGAACTCAAATACTTCCTATTAAATTGGTATCAGAGCAGCGATTCGGGGCCACCGGCGGCTGAAATTCTGAAATTTCAGCAAGTTCCTCGTCTCCGGAAGAAGATTTCTGTGGATCCGTTAGAAGAACAATGGCCGGAAAGAAGGTGGATGTTTTGGAAGGCGAACTCGGTCAATTAAAAACCGATTTGGAGGAAAGATTTTTTGATTTTCAAAATCAAATCACCACCAATAACGAAAGGTTGGAGGGAAAATTCACGGCCATAGAAGAAATGATGAAGAAATTATTGGAGATGAAGACTAATCTGACGACGTCGGGAGCAAGGGAGACTACCGGAGACCACGGCGTAGGAGGAAATCCGAACCCGCGTGGGGGGAGGAGGAATCAGGATGTAGAGATCCTTGAGGGAGACGACGACATGCCACCTCTAGAGCCACTTTCTAGAGAGGAGATGAGCATGGGAAATCAACGTCGAGGTGCTGATTTTCAGCGTCAAGGTGTTGATTTTGAAGGCAGGAGGGGGGAATATGAGAGAAGTGCAGATTTTTGCAATAGAGGAGAAGAATATCAGCATCAAGTTGCTGAATTTCAGCGTCGAAGTGCTGATTTTGAAAGGGGAAGAGGGGAATATGACGACGGACTCGGATACCAACATCGGAGGGAGGACCGGGACACTTGGGGAGCACCTCATCTTCGAGGAATGGGAGGTTATGGAGAGTACCGGGGTAACGGAAGGGATCCGAAGGTGAGGAAGTTGAAGATGCCCATCTTTGAGGGGGAAGATGGCCATGGCTGGATCTACAAGGTGGAACAGTATTTTGCAGTCAACGGATTGACAGAGGAGGAGAAACTGACAGCGGCAGGACTGTGTTTGGAAGGGAAGGCACTGGCATGGTACCAGTGGCGGGACATGAGGCGACCTATTCGAAGCTGGAGGGAGTTCAAGGATTGCTTGCTAGAGCGTTTCCGAACCAGCAGCGGAGGGGATTTCTACGAGCAGTTCTTTGCGCTGACACAGGAAGGGACAGTAACAGAGTTCCGGGACTGGTTTGAGTATCTAGCTAGCAGGTTGGATCGTCTTTCTGATACCGTGCTTGAGGGGAACTTCATGAAGGGGCTCAGACCAGAAATCAGAGCAGCCGTTAGAGTGATGAGACCACACGACCTAGGGGAGGCCATGGAGTTAGCACAGTTGGTAGAGGACTAGAAGCATCTGGAGAGGGGGACTCGAGGCAGCAGCTCTGGGGGATCCCACAGGATGACGACTATGTTTTTAGCTTCCAAGGGAGCTGCACCGGGGGGTACACGAGAAGTACCAAAGGAGAGATCTGGAGGAGGAGGGCCTGGGGGAAATTTTAAAAAGCTTACTGATAAGGAGATGCAGGAGAAGAGGGCCAAGGGATTGTGCTTTAGATGTGATGAGAAGTACATGCCGGGACATAGGTGCAAGGACCGGACTCTTCAGGTTCTCCTTGTTTGCGAAGACGAGGAAGACGAAGAGGTAGGTGGGAGCAGGTCCGAAGTGGAGGAAGAGGAGAAGTTGCACCTGGATGTGGCAGAAGTCTCTCTGAACTCCGTAGTGGGATTCACTTCGAGTCACACTATGAAAGTGAAAGAGGTGATAGCTGATCACGAGGTGGTGATTCTGATAGATAGTGGGGCAACCCACAATTTCATTTCCACCTAGTTGGTGGAGTTGCTTGGAATGAAATTAGTGGATACAGGAGGCTATGGCGTGATGATGGGCACAGGGAAGGTAGAAATGGGTAGAGGAGTTTGTAAGGGAGTGGTGATTACCATCCAGGGAATAGAGGTGAGGGAGGATTTTCTTCCCTTAGAATTGGGGAGTACTGATGTGATTTTGGGAATGAAGTGGCTGCAGACTTTGGGAGAGACCAAGGTGAACTGGGGGGAACTGAGGATGGAACTAGTAGTGGGGGGAAGGAGAATGGTGATATAGGGATATGTCGGCCTGTCTAGGATGGGGGTGTCTCTCAAGTCCATGATCCAAACCATTCAGCCTGGGACGGGGGTGGATACTTGGTGGAGCTGCAACGATTGGAGAAAGTCAGTGTCGGGGAAGAGGGAGACATACCTCTTGAAGTGCAATCGGTCATACAGCAGTTCAAGGAGGTTTTTCAACCTCCAAAGGGTTTTCCACCTCAGAGGGAGCTGGAGCATGCCATTACTTTGAAGGAAGGGGAAACACCGATCAGCGTTCACCCTTACCGCTACCCCAGATCCAAAAAGATGAGATAGAGAGGCTGATACGGGAGATGTTGGAGGCAGGGATCATAAGACCAAGTGTAAGCCCTTTTTCTAGTCCAGTCCTCCTGGTCAAGAAGAAGGATGGGAGTTGGAGATTCTGTGTGGATTATAGGACTCTGAATAAAGGCATTGTACCAGACAAGTTCCCAATCCCAGTGATTGATGAACTATTGGATGAACTATTTGGGGCAGTGGTGTTTTCCAAGCTAGACTTAAAATCCAAATACCACCAGATCAGAATGAAGGAGGCGGATGTTCCCAAGACCACCTTCAGGACACATAAAGGGCGTTATGAATTTCTGGTAATGTCCTTTGGTTTGACTAACGCTCCTGCGACATTTCATTCTCTGATGAACATGGTCTTCAGGCAGTACTTCAGGAAGTTCGTACTTGTATTCTTTGATGACATATTGGTGTACAGCAAAACTGAGGGGGAACACTTAGAACACTTGAAGGTGGTTTTGGGAGTATTGCAGGAACATCAGTTACAAGCCAATCTGAAGAAATGCAGCTTTGCCTAGGCTAGTGTGGAGTACTTGGGACACGTGGTATCCCAAGAAGGAGTAGCAATGGATCAGAATAAAATAGAAGCAATGCAGAAGTGGCCAATGCCTAGAAACCTAAAGGAGTTAAGGGGGTTCTTAGGGTTGACTGGATACTATAGGAGATTTGTGAAGGGATATAGTTGTTGAGTCTTGTAATTAGGTTGTTAAACCTAAGTGAATGTCCCAAGGCTACCAAGAGGGGGGGGGGGGAATTGGTACTTTAAAAAATTTAAGTCCCCTTTTGAAAATTAAGTTGAACCGAAATAAAAATTTCTTTTAAGTTTTTCTAGAGAAATATTTTTCAACCCCAGATTTTTTAAAACTAAAATTTAAAGTGTGGAAACATAAAAACAGTAAAGTAAATGACACCAGATTTATAGTGGTTTGGTCTAAAACCAGACCTATATCCACTCCCCAGAGGCACCCTCTGAGTATTGCACTAATACCAATAGTGACTCTGCTTTTGCACCCACAATAAGGCGGAGAAGCCTTTACAACACACTCTTTTCACCACTCCCCGGTGCGGCAGAGAACCATCCGTCCTTTTACACAATCCCCAGTGTTGGCAG